ATCACAGTTGACTTTCATAACAATGTATTGCTACGGGGCACACGAATACTAGTTCCCTCATCTCTTCGACAACAAGTCATTAACATTACGCATGTGGGGCACCAGGGCCAAGCCAAAACGAAAGCGCTGCTGCGAGAATCAGTATGGTTTCCCGGCATGGACAAGGCAGTGAAAGAAACAGTAGACAGCTGTTTGGCATGCCAGGCAAACTTACACATTAAACCACCAGAACCCAAACAGTCACCACCCATGCCCGATCGTCCATGGGAGAAAGTTAAAGTTGACTTTTATGGGCCTCTCCCATCGGGACACTACGTGCTGGTAGTAATTGACTGTTATTCACGATTTCCTGAAGTGGAAACTCTGAAGTCCATTTCAGCTAAGAAGGTTATTCCTAAATTGGATTCTATATTTGCGAGGCACGGTATCCCTGCTCAGCTCACTTCTGATAATGGACCGCCATTCCAGGGGCATGAATTTAACCAATACATGACTGCCATGGGTATAAAACATTGCACCTCCACACCGTTATGGCCGCAAGGAAATGCAGAGGCTGAAGCATTCATGAAGCCTCTTGGCAAATGTATCAGGTCTGCACACTTGCAAAAGCGACCATGGCAGCAGGAACTCTCAAAGTTCTTACTTACATATCGGCAAACCCCACACTCTACAACCAAAGTTCCCCCAGCACAACTTTTATTCAATCGCAACATTCAAGGGAAATTGCCAACAATTACACCAACCCTAAAAGTCAACAGACACAGCGAAGCACAGGCAAACCAAGGGCAACAGAGAGATAAGGCAAAGCAATATGCAGACAATAGACGCCATGCTCGACCAAGCAACATTAAAGTTGGTGACCAGGTCTTGGTGAAGCAGCAAAAGCGCAATAAGTTATCAACTAACTTTTCTCCCCAACCATATACGGTGACGGCTATTAAGGGTTCCAAGGTTGTAGCAGAAAATAAAGACCATCGAATCACCCGAAATTCTTCATTTTTTAGGAAACTTAATAAGGAAAAGCGGATGGCATAAGAAGAAGACGACGAAATGCCGGTAGCTAGAACAAGAGGAAGTGAAGTAGAAAATGCCGGGGAGATACAGCAAGAGGAACAACATGATGGTTTGAGAAGATCAACAAGGAACTGCATGCCGGTTGAACATTATGGGTTACCTGTACATTCGTCAATAATAACTTGACAGTATTATCAATATTATGAAACTTTAGATATATAGTTATGTTACATTAATTAAAAAAAAAAGAAAAAAAAGTGATGTAGTGACTACGTCTCTATGACGTCACGGACATGATACGTCACTAGGACATAGGAGACATGAGCACGAAATGTGCTCGGACAAGAGATCAGTTTTGGAGATTGTGAACGAAGTAGTTCGTATTAAATATTATAGTTAGACAATAAAAGATAAAACACAACAGTCAAGACAAAACTTACACCACAGCTTTGAAAGAGCATCACAAAATTAGTAATATTCCGAAGTTTCGTTGCGAAATGGTGTAAAATGCGGATAATATAGCCCTGCGAAGTTTGCAGTTTTTCAGTCATTTTGTATTACGCGCGGGAAATTGATCCCTTTTTTCAGAAAGCGGTATCAATTTCCCATTTGTAATACAAAATGACTGAAAAATGGCAAACTTCGCAGGGCTATGTTATCCGCATTTTACAACATTTCGCAACGAAACTTCGGAATATTACTAATTTTATAATGCTCTTTCAAGCTGTGATGAAATTTTTGTCTAGACTTGTCTAGCTCAAAATTTTGTTCATTAGGGAATAAGTCCATTCTGAACGTCTACAATTCGAAATTTCCCGGACAAACATATATTGTTCGAATTAATCGAAAATCTCTAACTATTCAGGTATGGAATAACATGTTTTATAAGCAAAAGTGGCATAACTTTGCGTTAAACGGCCCCCGGCTTTGAATGGGATACGACCCCTGGTCCTGCCCATTTAAAATGGGGAGGGGGGCAGGGCTACGTGAAAAAGATGCAAAATTTGCCAGGGGCTCCCTAGTTGATTTGGGTCCCTGACCTGAGCCAGGCAGTGCCAAAAGGAATTACGCTACTGTTAAGCAATCGACTTGAGCCTTCTTGCCATTGCGTAGCTTGCTTACAACTAAAAGCACTGACACATTACTTCTAGGTCGTTTAAGTGTTTTCCTCAGTCAACATAAATATAAAAAGATCCTCTATTGCAAAGCAGGGGGATCATATCAGAGATGGGGGTGGTTGGAGGTCCCTTTTAGCAAATTGCGCCCCCCTTCCTACGGAAAATCTTCTCAAAAAAGGCCCTGTGTCTAACTGAAAAATTAGTTAAGATTCTTGCCTATGACTAACGTATTGTAAAAGACCTTTGGTCAAAAATGGAATTAAAGATATAATATTTTTAGATGCTAGAGCACTTTGGCAACTGACAACGGCAACGTGATCATCAACAATAGAATCGTTACTCTGAGACAAATTCGTCTATAAATTGTATTCCTTGAGCATTCTAGTACGTCGTAGTTGCCCAAACTGTAGACTTGCCACAAGTCGACCTCGAACGAAACGCGAGCAGCGAGCGACGAAGAAGCTGCTCGCGTTCCGTTCGAGGTTGACTTGTGGCAAGTCTACCCAAACTGCTGCGTTATATTTTCATTACTAATACACGGCTCATAACTACGCCTTTTGTTCGAAGTCATGTGGGGTATTTTATGTGAATTCACTGACTATTGCTGCTTAAAGATTGTTTCAAGGAAGGATAAATACTTTTAAGAGGCAAATAAAGTTTATTCTCAAATTAGTCAATCATTAATAGACCTTGCCAATTATTCTCTTTTAAGCCTGGTTCACATTGATCGGCGATGTTCTACGATCCATTGTCTGTGAGCAACGAAGAAGAAAATGCACAAAACATTTTATGCATCAATGACCACCGACAATGGGCATCGCCGATGTTTACGATCAATGTGAACCAGGCTTTACCCAATGACCTCATTTTAATGTCAAATACTTACTCATGAATTGTGCATAGTAGGGTAGAAAATTACTTTGTTATTGAGCCTAAGAACAGCAAGAAACAAATTCGTTCAGGAAAACATGGGAATATAATCTTTATCTGCCCCTGATATGCTAAAATAAGTTAACATATGGAAACGAGGCCATTGAGTAAAAGAGAATAATCGGTATGGTCTGTTAGCAAATCAAAAGCTAATTAGTCAATCAAAACACGTATTTCGTCACGTGCATGAGTTACGAAACCCTGGCTGGTAATGTACGAAACGTTTAAATAATAATTAGGAAATTAGAGAATAAACGCTTTAAATAATATAAAGTCTCAAAACGGCAAAGAAATTGTATTGTTACCACAATTCTGAATTATAAATGCAAAACAGAAAGCAATTAAGTTAGTTTTTCAAATGAGAAGTTATTTCATAAACTGTGGCTCGTGTTTTACCATGGTTTCCAAATACTTGAAAATAATTGAATTCACTCGACTGTTCAACGCGCGATTTTCATAATTTTTCTTTCGAGTTTGTAAAACACTCAGGACAACATGAACCATTCGGCCGTACCGGCCTCGTTTTTACAAACTCTCGAGAACAATATGTTCGCTTGATGAACAGCCTCGTGAATTCAATTGCTCTCACGTATTTGGAGACCCTGGAGGCTGCTCCATTTACTATTCTAGAACATTTTGTTCGGGAACGATATGAAATGGAATACACACGGTGTTCTCGAACAGTGCATGCATCCCATGCATTATTATATTATTTATTCGCATAATAAATCGTATTATAATATGCTGTTATTTGTATATCTATATTTATGCTTTTGCAACGCTTTTACTCATTGATTTTCCTCAATCCTGGCGTTCAAATAGCATATAATAAGTATATGTCGATATATAGCGGTTAGGGACAGGTCATTATTTATGGCGGGGGGTGGCACCGAAGAGAAATGTTTTCCGTGTCAAAAATTTTGCTGACCCAACCATTAAAAAGACGAAAATTTGATTACCCAACCTCAAATATCAATTAAAAAATAACTACCCACCCCTGGCCAAAAACTTAACAAAAGGATACCATTCAGTTGTCATACATGTCCTCTATCACTTCAGTGACATGAGTTTGATAACGGCTTGTGAAATGTTCTGCAGTCTAAAGTTTCATGTTGTCTGCACATGTACTTTCTTTGGAACACAATTTGTTTTGTCAAACTATGATCAAGATAGTGACTCTGATTGATTCACATATTGTATTGACAAATGACTGTTGACATTGCTTTTCAGTCTCCAATATTTCAGTGGGTCATGCTTTGGAAATGACAGTAAATTTTTATTACCCAACCCTTGAGTTGTTTTGTTTTTCATTTACCCAACCTTTTACTTACTCAAAATTTTGTTTACCCAACCTTTTTCTCTTCGGTGCCACCCCCCGCCATAAATAATGACCGGTCCCTTAACCCTTCAAAATAATCTATGCAGTGCCCAATGGATACACACGATCTTTCGCCTCCCTTTTCGCCCCTAGTCAAAAATCGGGGTAGCCAGAACAGTTCAGAAAAGTCATGTGACTGTCTTCTGTTCCATGCATCCATTAGTGTTCCGAAAACCCGGAGTACTACGACTAATGGAGCAGATTGCTGCTGCGTGGTAAAACACACGGTAATCGTTCCATGTTTCGCGGACTAATATAGTAAACGTTATGTAATGGATATTATAGTGTACTGAAAAGTTAACTGGATACCTCCATACACGTATATACACACTCTAACCTAACCCCTAACCTAACCCTAATACCTAACTCCTAACCCTAACCTATATTGGTGCGCGAAACATGGAACGATAACCAAACACACGCACTCCTTTATGAAATATTACGTAATGTACGTTTTAGCTGTGTACGTCATTCTGGTTTCTGCCGTAACAACGGGCAAAGGCCGTTGTCAGTTGCCAAATTCACTAGTTTGGGAAATACAGCGGCAAGGTCGATGAAAAGTTCTCATCAACAGTAGCATTTTTACTCCAAGACAAAAGTGACTGTAAATTGTACTCCCTTGAGCATTCTAGTACACCGTAATTGTTCAAAACTGCTACGTTACTTATATCAGGACTTTTTAGACCACGATTTAACCGAACTTGAAGGGAAACAAAGCCTTAGGAACAACCGAAGAATCACACATGAAAAACATGAAAGATTTTCTCTCATTGGCTCACCAGCAGATATACTGTACAGTATGTTGTGATAGCCTGCTCACAGATGTTGTAGTTCTTACGCCAAGCGACGAAATATTACCGTCTGCTTACCCTAGCTGCATATTCAATTCCCTTTGTTTTAGGAGCCAATCATCTGGCAGTGTTCAAAAAAGTTATAGAGCCAATTGAAAGCCGCCTTATTGAGAGATTAGCTACTGGGGAAAGCCCTTGCACTGCATGCATTGGAATATATTGTTTGGGTTGAAACTTGAAATTTGTTTACTTGCGTGGATATATTTTGGAAACTATAGCGTTGAACTTCACGATGTTTACGTAGAATAATATTGTGATCATCTTCTCGCATGTTCAGCAAACAATCGGTGTATATAAAGTGCTAAAGCAATGCAGTAGGCGAAATTTAATTTTTTGTTAACAATGAGAAACAATCAATCGGGATCGAAACTCGAGTATATCAGGATATGTCCAAATATAGCCTGCGTAGCAGGCGTTTAGCTGACGGGCGGGAACTGAGGAAACGCCTGCCCAAATAGCTATGACAAATTTGTTTTCGTCCATTAAGGATGATTGACGTTTTGTAATTAACACCTTCACCCATTATCCAATCATAGTCGAGATTTATATTTAGCATCATGCATGCTTTTTGCTCGGCAACTAGGGAGATTTGCAGAGATTTTATGTACTATTTAAACATGAGCAGCAGTGTTTTATCAGATATAAAGATGGTCTGATAAAACACGCACTGCAAATGTTTTAAATTGCTTCAAAAACGATCGATCTAGTATAAGTTCATTGGCGAAATAGCTTTCAAAAAATTCGTTGTGTATGTAAAGAAAATCAAAGTTAAAGTTTATGTAAATCAAGGGAAATCTCTATCACATATAAAGATCACGTTTATGATTTTTCTTTGTGTTTCTTCCTCATGAATTATTAATGAGTTTTTGAAGTTATTTTAGACAACAGTCACAACACAGTCACAGAGCTTTTATCTTTTAAAAGGCTCCTGAACCACGGTTGTTTAACGTATTCTGTCGTATAGCAAATTAACTGGAAAATTATAACAGTTGAGCATGTTTTGAAATGTTATTCTTAAAATCATCATCCAACCTCATAGCTGCAATGCCAAGTGATCTGGCCTCAACTATCTGGTCTTGAATTATACTTTAAAGTGAACAAATAACAAGACAACTATATTAAGGAAATTTATATTCAATCCCTGCCGCTCGGGCAAGCTTTGATTTGCAGATTTTCCGTATTTCGTAGAAAGAATCGCGATAACCGGCGTCTTCACCACGTAGCAAATTAATAATAGACTTTCTCTATCCTGGTTTCAACTGAATTTCGAAGACTAAATACTTGAAATATAAAGAGTTCCCTCGAAAAGCAATAACAGGCGGCATATTTTCGAAACGCGAGCAAAATTATTGTTGACATTGGAGTTACGTAATTACTTCCGTTAACGAGAATTGACCAATGGGAAGCTTTTCCGAAGATTCTTGGGAGAAGAACAAATTAATCATAAGCATTTGGGCAGGCGTTTATTTAACGACGCCCTCTCTTCTCCCGCCCGCACTAAACGCCTGCTACGCAGGCTAGGTTATGCACTGCTAACGACCATTATTGTGCTAATGATCATATAATAGTTATTTTACACAATGGTTGAGAATTACACAGTGGGGAAATGAGTCACAGTCCCAAACATTTTGACGAAATAACATCTCTATAAGTTGTCCTTTCGGCAAACTGTCCGTTCGCGGCAAAACGTCCGTTCGGCATAACGTCCGTTCGGCAAAATGTCCGTTCGGCAAAACGTCCGTTCGGCTAAATGTCTGTCGGCAAAATGTCCGTTCGGCAAAATGTCTTTCGGCAAAATGTCTTTCGCAAAATGTCCGGGTACCCAGTAACACGTGTACTTACTAATAAGAAATTTCCCTACTTAGTGGGGAGACCACATCAGACACGGAACTGAAAAAAATATCCAGTAGGGTTAAAGGGGAACTCCAGTCCAAATACAAGTGTGGTTTATATGAAAGGTCTTACCCTTATTAGAATGTTCCTCAAGTATTTCGGTCTAAATATTAATAGTAAAGGAGAAATTGCTTGTCAAAGTTTGCGATTTTGTCAAATTTGGGCGCCATGTTGTTCTTTTCATTGCAGACTCGGATTTGTCCAGCGCCCTGATTTTTGACGTCATTGCGTGCTTCGAAGGTGTTGTTCAAATAGAAAACTATGGCTTTGTATGGCGATTTAATAAGAATATCGATTATTTCTCTGCTTCTAATTCTTTAATGAGATATTTTACATTACCGAGCTTCTGACTGAGGTGAATCAAGAGTTCCCAGCCAATGCCAGGTCATGGTTGCTGGCGTAGCTAATGTAGAAAATATATCATATATGTTGCTCCTTGCGGATCTGGGCATCTGACTCTCGTTTGACTAGATACTTATTGAATATTGTGCAAATTTGCGAAATGGATTTTCTTGTTCTGACTTGCTGAAAATATATCAATCGTAGTTAAAAACTTAAAATCGGTTGGGCAAGGCTGAAACATCTAGCAATAATATACTGTTAGCAGTAGCGGAAAGTGAGGTTGTTGAATGTTGGTTACTAACTAGGTTCTGAGATTTCTGAAATAGTCTGTGACAGTGTTCTGAACCAAAAAATTCATAGGCATGTTGCATTTAAGACAGTTTATATAAAATAACAGTAAACTATAAACCTGTTAAACCATCGCAACAACTGCGTATAAACATTTCATGTGGGTCCTTAGTCCTTACTAGTAACTTGACACTGTCGTGTATAAATAAAACCCCCATATTGAACCCAACACTACAACGAATGTTTAAAACCCTGTGCTAGCCTGTCTGTTATAAAACAATTCTTTTGTAAGGATTGTCTTTTTTTAAAAAATCTCATCGTACTTTATTTAAATAGCATCACCTGAACTTCAGGTTACAGCCAACAGACAAATACATTTCTATAAACAGCTTGTCATGCGACATGATAGTAGCCCAGCATGTAGTCTGCCCTCAGAATTATCTAGGTAACATTATTTTATATTATTGATGTCTAGATTCATTTCATATATGCAAATGCCTTGACGCAAACTCGCAAGTCAAAGAATCGCTAAAAGTAAGACGTCTATTTACCGTAATTGCACAATAAATAACAAAATGTTTTCAGCGACTGAAACTGCTTGTAGCAGTCTGCTTCAAGCCCTAACTCAAGGACAGGCTGATTCAATTCGCAAACTTAAACAAATGATTAAAGACATGTTAGCAGTAAAAGATACCCATGCATTCATTCATACGAGTGACGACTCTCTTCTCTCTCACCTCTCTTCGATTAAAATTGATATAAATCCATGGCCACGACTACTGTATATCTGTGACTTTCAGTGAAATACCCGATACTAAACCGCAATTAATCTTATTGCTCGCATACATGAGCAAACAGTCTAAACAGAAGTCTCATCAACCGATAAATCGTTGCTGAACGCAAACGCAGCATCGATATTCAGGCAAATTGGATCCGAGAGTCCAACAAGAGCCAGATCCACACAGGGCAACAACCGCAACATATAATTATTTAATTCTGCGCAAGCTTTCCGTACACCAACATGAACATGACCTGGCAACTCTTGATTCACTTCAGCTAGAAGCTCGGCAATGTAAAATATCTCCGTCTGTAAAATATCTCTGTTAAATCGGTCTAAACTCACATTAATTAAAGAATTAGAAGCAGAGAAATAAGCGATATTCTTATTAAATCGCCATACAAAGCCATAGTTTTCTATATGAACAACACCTTCGAAGCACGCAATGACGTCAAAAATGAGGGTGCTGGACAAATCCGAGTCTGCAGTGAAAAGAACAACATGGCGCCCAAATTTGACAAAATCGCAAACTTTGACAAGCAATTTCTCCTTTACTATTAATATTTAGACCGAAATACTTGAGGAACATTCTAATAAGGGGAATATCTTTCATATAAACCACACTTGTATTTGGACTGGAGTTCCCCTTTAAGGTTTCCTCCTGAAGTGACATTTCATGAAAAAGGAATGGTCCTTATATGGATCTTTATCATGGTTAAGTTAGCTACGAACAAAGCCCTCTTTACATTGATAGCGTATTTAATTTCAATCATCACAAAATTTTACGATTTATTTTATTTTATTCACAGTTTATTTACAAATGTTGTTTATATTTGAAGGTCGGAATTACTATTAGCGAAAAATCTTTCGAGTTGAAACTTGTGATCTCCCTCCCCTAACCCCGGCGACGCAATTACACTCAGATGTTATATCCAAGACCCAAAAAGCTAGCTATCAGCCTGCCCCTGATTAGTACCAAACTTTCAAACCTGTAGCTGTACAATGTTTGTATGTTAAGATTCCATCCACCCAAAATTTATCAAGCACGTAGTTTTCATCTTGCAATGCCTTACATAGCACGGGTGTACAATCATCTGTTAATGAACACCCATCAAGGTATAACTCAGCCAGCTTACAATGCTCTTTTGTTAAGGCACATTCACATAGCATACGTAGACCTTTGTCACTTATACCCCTATTACCTTTCATTGACAAAATGGACAGGTTGCAATGTTTATTTTGCAATACCCGAGATAATTCCGGCATACATTCATCTGTTAATGAACACTTAAACAAGCTCAACTTCGTAAGTTTACAATGCTTATTTGCTAAAGCACATTCACACAATGTACGTAATCCTTCATCACTTACACCTTCGTTATCTCCGAGTGACAAGTCAGTCAGGTTGCAACGTTTGTCTGTAAGTAGCTGACACACGGAAGGTATACTTTCATCAGTTAGTAAACAACTATCAAGGAACAGCTGAGTAAGCTTAATCTGCTTCTGTTTAATAAGAACATTACACAACGCCCTTACACCCTCATCAAGAATACTATTGCCACTAAAATCCAGATATGTAAGTTCAGGACATAGTTTATTGTCCAGGACTTCACAAAGTATGGATCTCCCCAAAGACGTTCTTCCGTATCCACGTAGGGATAATTTCTCGAGAGAACTGCCATGTCCATTTTTTAAAAACTCGTGCATGGTCGACATACAACGTTTCTCAGTTTCGTATAAATGTCGAATATCCAACTCGGCAAGTTTTCTGTGTTCGTGCTTCAATGCACATTTTGATTCCATTAATGTTTTACATAGATGTTCCATTTCAACAGCAACAGTGAATGAGCCAACCAACACCAGTTGTTTCACACATCTTTGTTGCAGCAATTTATTAACTTCCAGATAACATTCTTCATTCGAGTTATATAAGCACAAATCTAATCTCGTTAATTTCTTCATGTGTTTGCAAACAAAAGTCACTGCTGCCCAGTCACTTGAGGTCAAGTATAATCCTCCCATGCCAGTGTTTGTTAGACTTACGACATCATTAATTGCAGTGGTTTCACAAGCTTCTTTAACAATGTCTTCATCATCCACTTCTCTTAAACATTTCAATACAAACAGTACTAAACAATTATCTGTAAGATCAAGTGTACCATCCTGGGCAATAATAACGCTTTCTGTGAACGCCAAAACACAATCCTTGCAGCAGTTCTTCTTGCCCAGAAGACCACCAACGAACTGAAGCACTAAATGCCATTTACCACTTTCAATATGAGCAGTGATGAACTCCTTTATTTCTTCAGGAGAAAACGTTTCAATCACGTGCCTTGCAGCAAGAAATTCTTGTATAGTTAGATGAATGAAACAAATTTTTGTTTGAACTTGAGAATAAGGGTTAGATAAACTGTTCAATAAACCCGACTTTTTCATTTGTTCATCAAATAGTTCGTCATTGAAAAGCAGTTGCTTAGATTCAATTCCATTGTATGCCAATAATTGAAGTTTCTCGATTGCTTCTTTAGAAGACTGTCCGTGAAATTTTCTGTCGTGATGCTTATTAAAATGGTCTATAGCTGCCTTATAAAGTTCAGTCAATGTTGTTGGTAGAGCACCGGTCCCATTTTTAGGATCACTAAAACTTTCAAACAGGACTGTAGACACGATGAAGGAATTTACAGGAATGTAACATAGATTTAACAAGTCTGACGAGGATTTTATGTGGTCCCATACCCTTGGTTTTAAATCACTTCTCTTATGGTTATCACAAAATTTGCCCACATACTGTTCAATTTTATCTGAAGTAAAACCAATAATCTCAACAGTTCTATCAAAAGTAAACCTAGAGTAAAACTCATTTGCAGTAGGCCTGCTCGTTACCAGAACCGTTGCCTCTGGCAATAAACGACCAGAAATGAGTTTAATAAACAATGAAATCCCAGACATGCAAACATTAGGATCGTTTGGTGGCGGTACGTCGTTTAAGCAGTTGACGTTTCCATTAAATTCATCAAAACCATCAAAAGTGAGAATCGCTTTTTCAGACTCTTTTGTTATATCTTCATAAATTCTTTCAAACTTTGCACCAGTCAGTTCTGTTCCATAACGAAGAAAGGTCTTAAGAGTTATGTCTTTCAGTTCGCTTGAATTGAACCATCTAAATTTAAAGTAGAAGGCAATTTTGCCATGATAAAATTCGTCAACTTCATTAGCCCAATCACGCATGATTTTTTCAGTCAAGACAGTTTTGCCTATACCGGGACGACCAACCGCCAGAATCTTGCGAGGGAAGTTGCCGTTTGTATCTTGATTTGGATAAAATAAATCTTTTGCTTCTTTTAGACGTATAGAGTTCAGAGGGACTTCCATATAAACATCGAACATTTCATGCCGCTCCATGTTTTTTGAAAATTTGTGCTTAGCTCGTTCAGTATTAATAACAAGGTTAATATATAAATTATGTAAACCAGTTTTTGGTCCATAAATTACGTCAGTTGTACGCGAAGGGTGCAAAACTTGTCTTTTGTAAAAATCTATACAGTTTTTCAGTTCAATATCAACACGCGTATTTTGCTTTCGCAACAGATAAACCGTACCGAACTCGGTATTACAACGCCAATCAGCTGTATACTTGCAGTTTGGAAATCGTCGGCAACGACGAATAATTTCCACAAGTATTGTTAATGCAAAACCCGTGTTTAATACAGATACGATGATCCACGATATGTGTTTGTCAGATGCATTTGCATTTTCACATGCAATAGATGTGCTATTAAATTGACTGTCACTCACGTTCTTTGCTATCTTCGTCGGAAAACCTGCCGGTGGTTTACAGCTAAACTTGAAAGCGAAACCACTTGGAAAAAACACAGCATACTGTAGAATAGTAAACAGTATTCCAGATAAAACTCGGATAACAAGGTGGAAAAGATAGAAATAATAAACATACAAAGTTCTATTCTGTTCCTGGTTCTCTGCTTCGAATTCGCCTTCAGTTTGTGTTTCATTAATTAAGTCGATTTCCTCAACACGACGTCGGACGCAGAGTGAATAGATAACAGCGACAATAATCGGGAACCAAATACTGAGAATGACGAACCAGTAAAATGGTAGTGGGGAATTGTAATTCTGTTGGTATCTTGAATAACATGCTTTGTCGACTTGTGTCTTGTATATCAGCGTACTTTCAGGCGCGACATAACAAGTAAATTTCCCGCCAGCTTCTCCCTCTTTTAAAGCAATAACAATACCTGTAAATATCAGGGCAGAAAAAAATGAACAATGGAACATACGTATGCCAAAATACTGAATGTTTTCGGTGTTAAATAATCCTTAACTCCGTATATCATCTTGATATTTCCTATCGATTCAACAAACGTCGCTAAAACAACTGTTTGACACATCCAGTTATTTTCAATGATGGCTAAAGCAATATAAATTAAAGATGATAAAACTGCATGCGGAGCTTTTATGTCTGATGACATTGTATTAAGTTAATTAGAGATGGTTTGTGATTGAATACTAAATGATAGATTAGAATAGAAAACGCCAATATTTCACACTTGCGCCGAGGTGCTGTTCAAAGCGAAGTACAGGCCTGCTGTTCAAGAACTGAAGTATCAAATTTACAATCAGATATATTTGGTATCAAACGTGTGCAAAAAACGAATTTTTGACATTCTTATTACACTATAAAAGATAGGAAGCCACAAGAAGGGCTTTTATGTCTCCAAAATTGTATTAAGTTAATTGAAATTGGTTTATTATGAATAGTAAAATAAAAAATTTTCGACATGCAAAACAAGAGGCCAAGATGTTGAAAATGGAGGACAAAACCAAAGGATTCTTCTGGAAAGTGCCAAAATAAGACTAATAGGCAGACCTTATAACGATGAGTATTCGATCGACATTCTTATGATATATAAAATTGGAAAAACATGGTGAACTTTCATTTGTGATTGAATACTAAATAATAGAATATACTAGAAAATGCCGAATATTTCACATTTGCACCGGAGTTAAATGTTCAATATTTGGAAAGGAAGCTATAAAGGATTATTGTTTAATTAAAGGAGAAAATAAACTTATTAGAATATAGATTCAAACTCACAAGCTTGGCAGGCTCTCTACTTTCGTTTTCCTTCCAAACACGCTCCAGCAGAGACCCTGGTTCAGACTGGTCATGTGACACCTTCGCCGGGTATGGTATGGTATGGTATGGTATGGTATGGTATGGTATGGTATGGTATGGTATGTTATGTTATGTTATGTTATGTTATGTTATGTCATGTCATGTCATGTCATGTCATGTCATGTCATGTCATGTCATGTTATGTTATGTTATGTTATGGTATGGTATGGTATGGTTTGGTTTGGTTTGGTTTGGTTTGGTGTGGTATGGTATGGTATGGTAAACTTTATTAAACACGCTAGCCTCGCATCAATCTGAGCTGCTTTTCATGAGGGGCGTCACACAATAACTATTTACAAATTAAAGAATATACACATTAAACTATAATTATACAAGTTAAACTATATAGAAAAACAAGGAAGCAAAGGATAATAGAAAAGGAATTATATAAAAACTTAACAATTGGTGCGATCCAAAGGAGGAGTTCATGCTTGACGTATTTTTCTTTTAAAAGAAGAAAGGGTTTCAGAATTTTTTGAATCCTCAGAAAGATGATTCCATTGCATGGCACCACTATATCGAAAAGTTTTCTTTAAAAATTCACTATTAGGCTTAGGTATGCATAGGACGTCTGTATCGCTACTACGCAAATCATAAGTAGCCTGAATTGTGTTTCTTTTGCAGAAACATTCGTTTAGATTAGGGGCAGTGTGGTTATTAAGTATTTTGTACATCATTATTAATTTATTTTCTAAACGTTTCCGATCAAGCGTTTGCCAACCGAGAGCATCCAAAACATCAGTAGACCTAATATCATAACTGGCTCCAGTAATTACTCTAGCTGCACGGAATTGAAATTTTTGTAGTTATCTTGAAGTGTTTTTCCACAGGTGTCCCACAGAGGGGAACAATAATCAAACAATGCTTCGTAAATTGTTTGCAGAGTTGCAGGTGGGACAAAGGGCTTTATACGTTTCAGTTTCCCCAATTCCAGCACTGACTTTAGAACATATCGAATCGATGTGTGCATCCCAAGTTAATTTTTCGTCAATGTCCATCCCTAAACATGCATATTTACTGGTTCGAGGGACTGGGGGTATTATTCATCAATATTAGCGTATTTCCAATTTTATTGATGAGGTTATAAGATGAAGCACTAAACATGACTTTTGTTTTGGTGGGATGATGTTGAAGCTTATATTTTAAAAGCCACCTTTGAATATTATTTAGATCATCATTTAAATTTTGAGCTAATGTCTCAATTTCATGTGAGGAAGACGAAATTTGAGTATCTCTGCATATGGATCAGTGGTGTCAAGTAACGAAGTAAATGTACTTCGTTACTGTACTTGAGTACTATTTTTGAGAAGTGAGCATGTAACAAAGTAAACTTTTTCTGGAGTACTTTTACTTGGAACGAAATCATTTTAAGAAGTAACGTTTTACTTCGTTATTTTCATTTTGTGGCGAAGTATTTCGTTACTTTCTAACTTTTATTTAATTTTACGTGATTTATTTCCGATTTATTTAAACTTCGGGATAGGTAATACGACCTCTACATGCGTCTGGGATCTCTCGTTTGTGACTTACGAATAAGCCTGATTTATTTAATGCATTTCTTATATCTTCAACGGGGTCTGGAAAGTAGACCATGCCGCGAAATATTGCGGTATATTCGATGCACGCATATAATGTGTGTGCTGTTTTGTGTCTTTTGTATGTCAATCCATTGGAGAAGTCCCCCCCTCCCTCTACACGCTACAGTACAGACAATAGTACTTTTACTTCAAGTATTTTTTAAGGATACTTTGTACTTTTTACTTAAGTACGTTTTGCTTCCAGTACTTTTTACTCTTACTCAAGTCGTTTTATTGTTAATTACTTCTACTTTTACTCGAGTACAAATTCGAAGTAATTTAGGCACCACTGATATGGATCACGTTTCACAACGAAAAAAAAGCAGTTTCACGATTCACGTGTCTTAGAAAAGCAATTTTACGGAAAACTAGATTCTAGTAAAATAATATAATAATAATAGGTTTATTAAGAGTATGTTTAATGCATGGTACAGTATCTACGCTTTAGCTTCTCTCACTTCTCTACCTGTCAGTTAAAAGCTACATCATAAAATGATCATAACTTACAAGTTTGAGTGACGAGTATGTCCGACGACCTCCGAAAGGTCTCCGAAGTTTTTACTCTTGTGCAATCGAGTGAGATCATATAAATTGATTATCGCGTATCATGTTTATCATGACTATTACAAAATAGATCGAAATAAACAAAGCAAAATCACAGTTCACGAAACAGACATCTTTAATTCTCATTTCACAAAGCATTTTTATCAACAATCACGCCTCACGGCTGTAGAACAAATCACATTTCACGACACTAAAATCAAGCATTTCACACGAACAAATATTGACCATTCACGGCTCACGAAAATACCCTTTTCCAGACTACGTTCACACCACGAGCGAAATAATGCCCGCAGAATTTCATGTTGAGTATAGACGTTCTCTGGTTATAATATTTACTTTTTACAAGCTTTCGACTGTCAGTCTACATGAGTCTTCAACGGGTAGATTATGGTTGTTTACCATTTACATGTAAAACCCATCCGGTTTGAAATTGTGCTAATGGTAAGCAAAATTTCGGATAGAAAATCCCATTCGGATTATTCGCTTTCCATTTAATAATTTCAAATGTTAAATCGCGAAGAGCCTGGAACTGGTGAAAAAAAGTTAAAAAATGTAAATGGAACAGCATTTACCGGTTGAAACTTTCCGGAAAAGTTCCGGTTGGGCCGTCGAAATATGCTTGTTCCATTTACTTTCCGTATGGAATCACCGGAATTTCCATGTAAATGGTAAACAACCTATAATGAAAGTGATGCGAGGTTTACAATTACATATACGGTATACACAATGACGTAAATGACAGCTATACAAGATTAGTGGCCATGTTACACGGGAATGATTAATGTTTGTTGTTGATAAGAAATCGATACTGTTCCTGTAAATGTTTTGAGTTGTTATCTGAACCCTTTGTGCATGCAGTGTGCCTTGACTCGAATGTTTGTCTGTGCCGATACGTGCCTTTGTCAATATTTTTCCCACCGTCAAAATCTATTTTGTGATCATTTGCCCACGCATGGTTAGCAATATTTGAACCACTCTTGTCAAGTTCAACATTTTTTATGTGTTCTTTTCGCCTTGTGTTAAATGCTCTGCCGGTTTCGCCAATGTATAGCTCCATGAGCAGTCGCTACAGTTGATTTTGTAAACGACGTTAATCTGGTTTTCTGGTGGTGGCCTGTCTTTGGGAGAAGGGAATAGTTCATGTAGTGCATGTGTAGGGAGGTTTCGTTGCTACTTGGATGTCATGGGGTTTCAAGATTCGTTCAAGTGGTTCTGTCAGGCCTTTAATATAGGGAAGTACGGCATAACGGTAGCTGCTCTGTGGCTCTACGAGGTTGATAAATATTATAACCAGAGTACGTCTATATAGCCTACTCAATATGAATAATCCTGGTTTCGCATCAAACATATTTAAAAGAATTTCATGTGTTTGCACTATGCGGTTACAGTTTGTTTACAAATTCAATTAGCACTCATATAAACCCAAAATATTTCAAATAAAGCAAATAAATTTAAACGAAAAGCATTAATTCGAATTTACTGTTTTGAAGATCTGAATTGGTTTGCAAGCAGTACGGAAAAGTAACGGCGTTTGTGTTCACGAGAAGCCGCCAAGCGTCCCGTTTTCATCTCGCTCCGTTTAGAAACCTATTGCTCAAATTTTAAATTTTTATAGCAAAAGTGACGTTTTCAAATAATTTCGCTACGGCGTATAAATGTGAACGCGACGGCTGATTACTTTTCTGCGCCGTTTTCGAATCATTCCGGCGTAGCTAAAGCGTTAACGTATAGTCTTATTTACCTATGGAAAATGTTTTATTTGTATCAAACTAAAAGCTGAAATTAATGTATATCAAAGCAATAACATAATACCTGTAAATACGAGACCACAAAGAAAATGAACAATCGAACATACGTATGCCAAAACACTGAATGTCTTCGGCGTTAAATAATCCTTAACTGCGTCTATCATCTTGATATTTCATATTGATTTGTCAAACGTCGCTTAGTTGTGCTTCTGACGTGGCAATGGATAGAACAACTGTTTATGATGACACGTCACGTTATTTTCAATGCACGGTTAAAGCAATATAAAAGATGAGATAACTACAAAGGGAGCTTTTATGTCTCTGGCATTGTATTGAGTTAAGTACAGATGACTTGTGATAGAAAAGACTAGAATATTTCACAGTTGCGCCGAGGAAATGTTCAAAACGAAGTACAGCACTGCTGTTAAAGAATAAAGTTATTTAATTAAAATTACAATCATATTTATAATATAGCATTTGCAAATTCTGAAGGCTGATTGGCCAAGAGCCGTGTTGATATACATAACTCAATGTCAACACGGAAATTTTCCCGCCACTCTTTAAATCCAAAAGTGTATCCCGAAATTTGTGCTATATTATAAAAAAATATTAAATACAGTTATATCAGTCAGCACTCGTAGAAACTGGGAAAACTCGAAATTGGGTGAAAACACTTCCACTCGTGTTGATGTAACTGTACAACACGGAAAATGTTTTAGCCTATATTTGTTAAATATATTCCGTATCAAACGTGTGCCAAATTAACGAGTCTTTGACATTGTTATAATACAAAAGATAGGAAGCTATAAAGTTAATTGAAAGTGGTTTGTCATGAATACTAAATGATGGAATGCGCTAGAAATTACCTACAATTTCACATGCGGAACGAGAAGGTAAATCGTTGAAAACGCAGAGCAAAACGAAAGGATGAAAATTTACAAATAGAGATATGCTACGATAGGCTGTAGGGCGCTTATGTAACACTATAAGCGCCCTGTCGCCCTGTTAATTGGTGTATCAACGTCATACCAAGAATGAGTCAACAACGTAGGCCTATACAGCTGAGTGAGTTAAGGTTGTCCTTCCAAAACCTATAAAACCTTAAACTCTGAGCGCGTAAGGAGTGATGGGTTTTCACTTATTAACCCTTAAACTCAGAAAATTGCCTTTGCAGCAATTATGTTTTCTGTCGTGAGTCTTATATATATGTCCTGTAGGTATTCTTGCAAAACCAAATTTCAAAGTTTATGAGTCTAAATAAGCAATAATCCATCATCTCTTGCGCGCTCAGAGTTTAAGGTTTTATAGGTTTTGGAAAGACAATCCGCTTAATAGTTGAATTAGCTGTATATACAACAAGACTGAAAACAATATAGATCTAGAATTGATAAAAAAATGCTGAATATTTAGTTCATAGTGTAATTGGAGTACAACAAATGTATATGCCTCTTGTTCCAAATAAACAATTAGAATATAAGTGATGTTTATGGGCAATGTGTCAACAAAGAATCTTTGACCAGCCAACACAAATATTTCGCCTACTTCACATTAATTGCAGGCTGGTGCACTTTTTGGGTGTTCATTGGCGGGCAGACCGTCTCTTCGTTGGCTAGCCTTTGCATAGACAATATTCCAATCGAGTCTTTGGCATTCTTATAATCGTTTTGCACAAAATGAAATAATTTTATGTAAGAAAACATGCACTAGTATATATGGTGGCCACAGAGCTCTCAGACTAAATTGCGACGTAATTAGCCAGTACAGCCCGAAATTTTACGGCGTTTTAAACCACCTTTTCAAACTGCTATTTATAAAGCAAATTTATATATAACAATATATAAATTCAAGTTAATGAGACAACACGTTTGTCACATTCAAACCTGGTTATAATCTCATAGTAACGGGATAAGCTTGTCAACAGCCACAAAAAGGCGATATCCAATAGTCCAAAGTTCAAATGTTTCTCTGGGCATGTGTAAAACCGAATAAAAGATCAACTGACCAATCATATGTCAACAACGAACACTCAGAACAAAGGTCAATGTGATAAGGGAGTTCACTTTGACAAATATCCCAACAAAGAGCAATGTCTTGTTACCGAGAAAGAAAATTTCCACCCACCCACCGGCCCGTTCATGTTCCTGGTATCTGGCGCATTGTATGGGTACTAACTAATGTTATGCAAGGACTGTTCAAGAACAATTTGTCAAGAAAGACTATCGAACAATTTTCTCATGGAAAATTATCGCTATGTAAATACTTAAATGTTCAAACAAATAAATTTTGTTTCGGGGTTGAAGTGTTCCCAATGGTCAACTTCAGGCCCATAGACTCAGGTTATTTATGTAAATATAATCAGTCGAATCGTAGGTACTGTCCAAGGGGATTATCACCCATTGGTTCAGGTCTATGTCATAGGGGGTCGCTACCCTTCGGGCAGAGCTCCTATGGAGCATTCAGTCTCTCCTAGCAGGTCTTCTATATACGCCTGCGGGATGAAAACATAAGGCTTAATGAGTCTTTGGGTTGACCAGAGTTTGAGAGTATAATGTATATAATTGGTTCACTTCACCCTGAACCCATTCTCCCACAATGATTTGGTGTGTGTTTTGCTTATTTTCGGGCTGTTCTTTCACCTAACGTGCTTGAATTATTAACATAAAATTTACTTATGTCAAGCTTTTATGCACTCGTGTGTTCAGCAGAATGCTGAGGCATTCAAATTCTAACAACGCGTTATTTTAATAGTTTGCAGTTTTTTTGGGACACCCTGCATAATGATGTAGTTATAAACTGATCTTGAAAGTATAGACATGCATACGAAAGTATTCACATACGTCCCGCCGGTCTGTAATGACTATTGACTACAAGATTCTACAAGATTTAAAAGGAGGCAAACCGGCGAGTAAGCTATAACTATAGTAACGAAATTTTCCTGGGGTTTCGTTGAAGATATACAAA